GTGGCCATCAGTACCGTGATATTTGCACATTAGGTTAGGATCCCTTTGGGATGGATCAGACTGTAAAGGTCTAAGCCATTTGGTATCTTTGATGCATCCGATGGCAGATATAATATCGGCGGCATTGACGTTGAAGTTGTACTTCGATAATCTCAATGCTTCTTTAGGGCCGACGGGCCTGTCGAAGTTGTTTTTGCTCATGAGTCCCCAATTGCTCTGGCCTCGGTCGTTTCTCCTTTCATTTCTCGCAGGGTTCCATCGGGCTTCTTCGGTCCCCATTGTATGGCTGATACCAATCCCTGTTCGATCTCGGTTCACGATCGATATCTCTCTTGATTCTGTCGATGGTTCTGACGGGATACACGGACCCGGAAGGGCCCCCAAGCTGATCATCTTCAACCCTGATTTTCGATTGATACCGGTTATGGACATCGGCCCAAGTGACAATTGGATATTCTACCAAGTTCTGTTTCAACTGATGTGAAGCCAAGGAGCTCCGAATGTTAAGTCCTTGGGTGAAAGCCTGAACAGCCCAATCATCAGCGACTGGTGGCAGGTCCATCCGTTCCATTTGAAATCGGGACACGAACTCTCTGAGCATCTCATTATCTTTCTGTTTTACTCTGAAAAGGTCTGACTTCCTGGTCTTGACTTTGATAACCCCGGCGTGTACTTTCACGAATGAATTTGCAAGCATCGCAAACGAGTCAATAGAATTAGGAGGTAAGTTGTGATACCATATCATAGCTCCCTTTGACAGGGTCTCCCTGAACCTTTTCAACAAGACAGATTTGATCTCATCATCCTCCAAGTCGTTCCCTTTGATAGCACATGCGTAGGAGGTCATATTGGGTCGGTCGTTCCGTTATACTTAGAAATCTCGAGCATGCGGAACTTCTTAGGGATCAGCTTCGGAGCCGCGCTCGGAGGAAAAGGATTTTGAACGAACTTCTTAGAATCTAGGCCTTTCAATATCGGCGGTGCTCCTGGGATTTGGTTGACCCTGGAATTGTAGGTTTTCACCTTTTTGTCATTAGCTTCGATTTTCTTCTCCCCTAATTCTACCCATTTTTTCAGTTCCTCGAGTATCTTTTTGATCTCGGGGTTAGTCCCCGATTCATTTTCATTCTACCTCTCTGCGACCGGTTCATTCCTGCGGGTGACTTCTCGGGACAGATCGGGTTCAATTCTGCTCGGTGCGCGGCTTTGGTTCTGTAACTGGGCTATGGCTGCCTGTTGAGCCTGCAAAATTTTGAAAATCATCCGTAAATTGATCCCGTCTCCTCCACTGTTTTGTGTATTTTGAGCTGCCGATCGGGCTCCATCACAGACGCTATTCTCGGGGTCAGTAGGCAGATTTGTGTTGATAGTCACATGCGAGTTAGCGTCAATCAGGTCCGTGACCGGAATTCTAATGGGATCAACGAGCGGTACCTCGTTACTAGGCACTATGTTGTTATTTTCACCGTGATGGCCGAACTCATTGTCAATATGTAGGAGTGCTGATTGAGAGTTTGACATTTTGAGCTCTGACCTGAAATTAGAGATACTTCAAAGAACAAGTGTAAAGTAGTGTATGTTATAAAAATTTGTATCAAATACCACTATTATCCTTAGTCCCACGGTGGGCGCCAAACTGTTTACCATCAAAATCGGATAACAATTAAATTTGTAAGTGGTTTTAAGGATATGCAGATTAACTTGACATAAAGTGATAAATTAAGTTGCAATTGAAATAAAAAATGATAAAGTAAATTCAAACCACACGAATTGAACAATTTTAGTCTTGGAAGGTTAATCACCCTCGAACCGGATGCACTTCGATCGATGTTAGGATATAGAAGAATAAGAGCTTAAAGAGAAAAATGATAATGTATTGCTTTAGAATTTGTGGTATAATGCGCTAAATGAATTATCAGACCCCCTTTATATAATAGAGGAGTCCTACTTTAGGTACAATTCTATAAAAGGTAAAAAATCTCTTGATTTGCTGATTGTCGGTTCCTTATTGATACGTGCCGAGATTCCCGCCGTAATACTCGACCGGACACGAATATTTCGGTCTTCTGTTGGCTACGCTAATAATGTTCCTTCGAGCTCTTTCGAGGCTAGGACCGATTCTCGAAGGCCTGCCCCCAGGCTCTAGCACAGTAAGATTTGGGGTCGATCTTTAGCCCTTTATCGCCACGTTTCGGGCCTGACCTGTCATATCGTAGGTGAGCTCGATTTTGATCGTATCACACTAAAAATTAAAACAACTCACAGCATTTGGTTATAATATTCATAGATTTATGCTTGAGATTGAGGCGTAATTCTACTCATAGATACAGGAACTGTAACGGTATTAATCAAAAGTGCATCTGCATAGACAGGGTGCGAGGTGTGTTTATAGTGGTAGAAGTTCTTATTTAGAAGAATGCTAGATTGAAGGAAATAAAATGAAATTTTGCTAATGTGATAAAATCTGGGTAGCAAAAAAATTGTTGCTGTGCTGGTTTTGACATTTGGCTGTGCTATGAGTAGTGGTGGCAAATGGGTGGGTTGGGCTGAATTTGGGCGGGTCAAGATGGGTTAGGTCAATAAATGGATCATTGTCCAACCCAGCTTATTTTAGAACACTGAATCATAGCCCAACCCGTCCAACTTGACCCATGTTTTAGAATGATGTTCATCTTGCATGAACAAAGCCTTTTACCTTTTATACACCTATGTATAAAAGGTAAATAAATACTATTAGTATTTTGNTTTCTAAATAAGTTGGGTTGAAATCCCATTGTTTTGGGGTGAACTTTATGGGTTGTATTTGAGCTACTTCATGGGTCAGAATAGGCTATAAAAAATAATGGGTTAACTTGGGCTCAGCCCAAATAGACCCATGAGCTAAAATGTTATAGCCCAACCCATTAATTCCTAGATGGGTTTGGGCTCAAATTACCACCCTTAGCTATGAGTAATATCATGCATCTTAATCATTCATAGCAGGTGGGCGGATAAATATATTTTACACCATCATTGCATATAACTTAAATTATAGCAGAGATGTTTCCCTTCTCTCAGAAGTATATAAGCAACTATATTAGCAGGGATAGATGTATGTAGAATTATCCCTATGTAAGAAAGAAAAAATAATACAGTAGTAATTAATGGAATTTATTCACCAATCTGACTTTAATTTACAGATGAATGTGGTCCTTAACACGTAAACTTTTAGGCTTACTGTAACATTGCATATAAGGATCTTAGGTTTTTCCTTCCTTCTTATAATTGGAAATGCAAGTTCATTTGTGTGGTAGAGGTGTCAACTCAAATTGACTAACGATACGTGGAGTTCGAGTCGCTATAGGTATAATTAAATTTCTTGAATGGTATATCAAGTTGCCTATATATCTTATACCATTTGATGTCGTGTCATGTTAAATATTTGTGGCATTCTGGAGAAATATATTTCTGTCCCTTTCAACATAACCACAAATTAAACTAGACAGATGTCTCGAGATATATAGTGAGCCCATTCCCTCACTCTGTGTGCTATTATAAGAAGTAGGCCAGCTGAAACTTACGATCAACTAAGCTCAGAATTTCAGGTACGCAATAAGTGTTTTGAGTATTAGCAAAATCTTTTTTTTAGCTTTTTCGCCGAAGCACTTTTAGAACTTTGGTCAAGTACAAATTAATGCTTTAATATTGGCTATTCAAATTAATTAGCTAAACAAAAATTGCTACTTTTCAAAAATATTTTTTCGAAAAATACTTCTGACAAGCAGATGTTGAAAGCTTCATGAAATAGGTTATAGTCGTCGGCTCGTCGCCCATCGGCTAATTAAAGTCTAATTTTCGCTAAATAACGCCACAGCGTGGAGTAGTGTTTGTAGAAACTAAATTTGTTGAAGAATATCAGCAAAATGGAGGTGATCGATGATCAATTGGATTAAAACATCTATAAATAATTGGTTATGACAGTAATTTGTGATTTCTCTGAAGCATATCGAGACACGTGTTATTATAGAATGTATTACTATATATTTTGATTCTCATTTTCCCTAATTATTAGGATCAGTGCTGTTGCTTTCATAAAGAAAACTCTATCGTTGTCTGAAGACGTGGTGCCTCATTATTTCAGTCAATAAAACGCGATGCAGAAACTTATTATGAAAGCTTTGGGAAAAGGATGAATCAAATACTGATATTACACTAATCTTGCCAACAAAGTGAAAAACAGCAACTCATTCAAAGATGAAGTAAAAGTACATCTCCTATTGCCTTTTAATTTGCATTGACAACACAACACAAGTACAGTATACTAATCTTTTGTAGCACTTTTGACATTCATACAATTTATTTTTAACTACCTGCCGAAGTAAAATAATTATATGAAGTATGCATTTCTTAATATAGACTAGTACTTCGTTTGTTTCTGATATGAAATGATTATTTTCGAGAAGTTCTCTTGACTATATTAATAATCTTTAAACATAAGTTCTGTTGATCACTACTTATATTTGTACTCTAATAATATGTAGACACTGTTTGCACAAAATTTTATGCGCTTATGGCCACTGCACAAATATGTCATGATCAAATTAATTTCTATGTAACTCCCAACTGTCGGAGTAAATTCTTACATAATTAAAGTCATGCCCTATATATATATATATATTAGCTGCATGTCGCATAAGTTTGGAGCTATATTTAGTTGGGAAGTTTGTCTTTATACTTCCCCATACTTTAATCTGATCTTGCTCTTATGTATCTCCCACGCCCAACTCCCCACAACCTTCCCTCTCTCCACTCTGTCAAAGCTACAAACAACCACACGCCATAAATGTTTTAAAATCACAATTTTTAAAAGTTTACCTTCTCATTCTTCTCTTTCGGCTATTCTTATGTGAAGATTATCCCAAATATTTCTCACATTTAAAAAAAAACAAGAAAGGTCTTTAAAGAAATAAGATTGTCCGAAATATTTCTAACATTCTTGGAATAGAAAAGAAATGCACAAAAAAAAGAAAATATAGGAGGATTATTTCATGTTTAAAAGGTCTTTAATTTAAAGCTAGGCATTGATGGTCAATACCAGCTAACTCCCAAGAGGATTAATATTCTCAAGGGTGATTATGGTTTTGAGTGTAGATGTAATCCAGGTGAGCTTCTGTAAGTGTCCTTCTCTTAAAGCATTCTCCATCTTCTTCTTCACATTCCTCTAGCCCCATCAGCTTCTACAAGTGTAATGAACCAAAATAACAGAGTCAGTAAAGAAAGATTCTGTTCAGAAAATGAACTTGGCCAAAATTAACTAATTCATGAGGTGAGAATCGTCCAATACTGTACGAGCAGACAACAACTGATCATTCCAAACTGATCATTCCACAAACTAATGTACTTAGGACATTCTAATTGACGACTGTGCCCGCCCAGGGAGGAGGTAGAAGCGCAGATATGTGTTTAGTAGCATATAAAATATAAATCCTAGTATTTGTGTTAATGAATTAATTAAATATGTACATATATAAAATATAAATCCTAGTAATTAACACTTGTTCTAAAATTTAGAATTGAAATTCTAGCTCCACCTCTGACGCAAGCTCAAACTGGACATTCTAATTAACGCCCTCGATCGCACACTTAGACCAGACATTTGGTGCGGGAACAATGCAACATGGAGTCCAAAACTGAGTAAGCCAAAAATAGGGATGGATTTAGCTCTACTACCAGTTAAGAAAATGAACCTTTAACGTAACTAAATCAAAAGGGTAGCTCATTATAATGTGAAGATTGCTCAAAATCATATAAGTTGAGGCATATAACAACTCATTTCTTTCGACCGATATAGAACAATTTAACAAACTCTTTAGAGAGGCAGAGAATTAAGATATTACATTCAGGGAATCGAAGGTTTCCATCTGGTCAAGAGAATAAGCAAGGGTGACTTCTCCATTATTTTCTTCCTCTTTCACTGCAAAGAAATCAAAACTAGCTGCTAAATTTACTCAATCAAAATAAGAATACGTTTGTACATACTGCAATAACATAAGCATTAATTCATGAGCTAATAATTAACTACCTTCACTGGCTGATAAGAAACGGGAAGATGCTGGTGAAAGGGAAACAAGCAGGAAAAGAAATACAAGAAAACATATAGTACTTTGCTTCATGACTACTTCAGTTCTAGGATTTGTTAATTTCAGTTTCGATAAAGTGAAAGAGAAAGATGATTGTGGTGAGAGTTGAGGGAAAAGTGTCTTTTATATATACTCCTACATGCAAAATAAAAAGGCGCACTATTCTGTGAGTTTTAGGAAAGTCCTTTGGAATCACAGAATATATACTTCATCATCTTGTCCACTTGTGTATGGTTTGTGTGAGAGAGAATCAACCAGGTTTGTGACGGAGTTTCTTCATCTTTAACTAGAGGTTTAATTTTAGTTTGGATTTTGAATATAAAATTACCTTTAATAAAGACGTTTTACTCCTTATTGTGGAGCTTCTTGACCTATATTTAAATTTAATTGGGCCCTAATATAAATACCGAACATCGATTGAGAATCCAAAATATAGTGAGGCAGAGAATTATTTTTCTTCAAAGGCAAAGCACTTAGAAAAGAAATAAAAATAGTTATCTACACTAAACTTTCTAAATTGTGCACAATACATATTATATAAAAAAAAGTTTTAAATTGATTTTTGAGAAACAAATCAAGATTAATATTTTCCGAAAAGTCATAGTAACAATTTTTTAAAACATTTTTTCTTTATGTTAAACAATTTAAACATGATTATATTCTAAAAATCAGAACTATCTTCGACAAACTAGCTACATAATGATGAAAATACACCAACAAAGATCCAATTTCCAAGTGAATATCAGTAATAATGGTGTACTTTTAAAAACATATAAGTAATACATAGAATTTGATAGTAGAACTTATGTTTTTATTTACCAATGTATTTAAAAAATAAATTTTAAAATATGATAACTCTATATGATACCTTTAGTTGCGCCTTTTTTGTATTAATATGGAGTAGTAGTTGTAGACAATAAATTTGCGTCAAGAAAATAAAATCAAGATCGAAAAATATTGCAACAATCGTAGTATTTGATTTTAAATAATTTGAGTGTACAATCTCTATGAATCCTCTAATTCTTCTTTTCAATAGTAAATAAATTCAAGGACCTTTGAACTTGATCTTGAATATGTAATTGTTGCCACGAACGATGATCTTGTTCTTGAGCTTGAGCTTGATTGCTTGAACTTGATCTTGATTTGTTCTTCGTTCTTGAGCTTGAACTTAATTTGTTATTCATTCTTGAGCTTGAACTTGATTTGTTCTTCGTTCTTAAGCTTGAACTTGATTGCTTGAACTTGAAACTTGTGGAGAAATTTGCAGTGTTTGATCCACGAGCTCTTTCTTGCTTCTTGTTATAACTTCTAATCTCTTTTCTGGGTTATGAAGACCCCTATTTATAGTTGTGGGAGGGAAGAGTTATGATAAGAACAAACTCTTTCCGACCAATCAAATTGAAGTATGACGAGGCCGCATTTGATTGGCCAGAACATGTCACTTGCACACGTAGCGCGATTTCATTGGACATTTAATGTGACTTGGCATGCCTTGTCATTTTAACACGTAGCATAATCCTATTGGCTCTTCCGTTTGACTTAGTGTGCCATGTCATTTTACGCGTGGCACCAAACTAAGCCTCTAGAAAGATGTCATCTTGGGCTTAATGAAGTGAGCTCGTCACTTTTATCCCAATTAAATGTGCTAGCCCAATGGATTAAGACTTATTTATTTAATCCATATATATTGGATTTATATAATTAGTACAATTATATTAGCCCATAATATATATTTGGACCAATATATCTTAAATTTAAAATATAGTCCAAATTAATTTATGAATTTAATTTCATAAATTTTATATATCTACAAATGCCCCCTACTTCAAGACTTGTCAAGGTATAAGCTTTAAGACTAGGCTTGAAGTATTATGAAGCAACATCTTTTTCTCTTTCTTTTCACATAAAACTAAACACCAAAGTTCCAAATTTCAGCCACGTTGAACAGTGTAGTTTCTCTCTAACGTTCCATTTTGCCTTTTGGTAAAATAAATCTCTCTTTTAATTGAAAATCATTATTGTCTTATATGTAGTATAAGTGCAGTACAGGTATCCAAATCTCTTTAGGATTGAAACTATGAATATTTAATATTGAAGACTACACTTTGACTCCATGTCCGACATTACTTATTTCGGTCGCCTAAGCAATTCCAAATCCCTTTTGGTAACTGATTTCAGGCGATCCCACATCGAGACCTCACCTCCCAATCAACTGCATAGGCGATCTATATAAACCCCATGCTCATATTTTCATTAAGCATTGAATTGTAGCATCTAGAAGCTATCTTGGCTTCGTGTTTTCATAAGGAGGCAATCCGAAGGTAATTTTTTCCTTCTATGTATTTACCATCGTCCTTTTCTTTCTCTTTTTTTTTTTACTTTTTTTTTGTAAGTCAACGAGGAGGATATGTTCTTTCTTAACAAGATGATCCATGCACGAAGAAGATAATTTTGGTGTGTGAGGGGATGAGTACTAATCCTTGCCCGAATATCGAAGAGATTACTCTCAATGTGGCTCGACTATCGGAGAGATTACTCTCAATGTGGCCCGACTATCGGAGAGATTACTCTCAATGTACCCCGACTATCGGAGAGATTACTCTCAATGCGCCCCGACTATCGGAGAGATTACTCTCAATGTGCCCTTATTATCGGAGAGATTACTCTCAATGTGCCCTTATTATCGGAGAGATTACTCTCAATATGTCATGACTATCGGAGAGATTACTCTCAATGTGCCCCGACTATCGGAGAGATTACTCTCAATATGCCCCAACTATCGGAGAGATTACTCTCAAGAGACTTACATGTCCACCTTAAGATTGGAAAATATAGTTTCCTTTTAAGGACAAACTTACGAAGAGGCCAACTTAAGGTGCAAAGGGACTTATATGTCCACCTTAAGATTGGAAAGTTATAGTTTCCTTTTAAGGAAAAACCCACGAAGAGGCCAACTTAAGGTGCAAAGGGATTTATATGTCCACCTTAAGATTGGAAAGTTATAGTTTCCTTTTAAGGACAACCCCACGAATAGGCCAACTTAAGTTGTACAGGGACTCATATGTCTATCTTAAGATTGGAAAGTTATAGTTTCCTTTTAAGGAAAAACCCACGAAGAGGCCAACTTAAGGTGAAAAGGGACTTATATGTCCACCTTAAGATTGGAAAGTTATAAAGCTTTAACTCGAAGACTTCGTGGACTTGACGACATTGACATGAATATTTGGAAACTTTGAAGATTTGACGGACTTTGCATACTTCAACTTGAAGAGTGGAGAACGTGAAGACTTCAACTTGAAGATCGACGGACTTAAAGACTTCAACTTGGAGACTTGGAGGGTTTAAACATTTCAACTTGAAGGGCAGCAAACTTGAAGACTGGAGGACTTAAAAATTTGGTAAACATGAAGACATAGTAAATCCCTGAACTTCAGTGCAAATACTTGGTAGCTTCCTAAAAGACTATAATCGCCCTATTGAAGATACTAGTTTATCATGACGGCTTGCCCCCTCTAAGTCATATGAGATCAAAGTTCAAAAGAAGAATGAAATTTCAGCCTGATTTTCAAGTATTGTTTGAATGAATTACTTCCATTATACTTCATTTGGACAATGACTAGGGCAATATGTATCTTTTGAACTTATGCGACTGAACTCAGAATGAAACTCTAAGCTGCCTACGTACCTCGGTGAAGAGGATCAAGTCATACCGTAGTTCACAATGGGTGGATATTTTTTTTTTATTTATTTATTTTTTTATGTCCTAACTTTTGCTTAGGCCGCCCCTTTAGAGGTTTTCAACCCAGCGAACTTTTTTCTTTGGGTGGTCCGTACACAGTTTAGACTCATGCGGGCCAGGATTGTAGGAACATGCAGTTTAGGCTCATGCGTCAAGGAGCGTTGCAACTTTAAGGATAATACTTCTTCAAAAACTTGCCATTGATAGGTCCAATTCTCATGCCATCTGCATCAACCAGCTTGTAAGCCCCACTTGAGTAAGCTTCTTGTCTGACATATGGCCCATCCCATTTTGAAGTGAACTTCCCTACAAGTTTATGGGAAGTAATAATGGGTCTTCGTATGGCAAGGACTTGATCTTCTACTTGAAAGGATCTCAGGAGAACTCTTTTATTAAAGGCGCGAGACAATCGAGCTTGATAATATTCAAGACTCTGTTGAGCTTCCAACCTCTTCTCATCAAGATCCTCCAACTCTGCTAATCGAAGTCAAGCATTTTCTTCATCAGTGATCCCTTCTTGAATAGCCAGTCGTAATGAAGGTATTTGACGCTCGAATGGCAAGACATCTTCGACTTCATAAACGAGCGAATAAGGAGTCACTTTTGTTGGCGTGCGGTGAGTCGTCCTATATGCCCATAGAGTTTCTTCCATATGGTCATTCCAATTTTGTTTGGATTTAGAGACGACTTTCTTTAACAAGTTGCATAGAGTTTTGTTGAATGCCTCAGCTAGACCATTGGCGGCAGCATTGTACATCGAAGAGTTACGTTGCTTGAAGCCAAAGAGATCACAAATCTTGTTCATCAACCTATTATCGAATGGCTTTCCATTATCTGCTATTACGTAACGAGGAATGCCAAAGTGATAGATTATGTTTACTCGGATGAAACTTGCAACATTTTCCTTCTTTACCTCCTTAAGAGCAACAACTTCAACCCATTTTGAGAAGTAGTCAGTTGCAGCCAAGATGTATAGGTGCCCACCAAAGGACTTTGGCAGTGGTCCAACAACATCCAATCCCCAGGCGTCAAACGGCCAGGATGCCACAGTCGGGTGCAACACTTCAGGAGGTTGATGAATAAAATTCGCGTGGAATTGACAAGCCTTGCATCTTCGAGCGTAGTCCAAGCAATATTTTACCATCGTTGGCCAATAATATCCCATTCGTTTTATATGGAAGTGGAGCTTTGGTCCAGACTGATGTGAGCCACATACCCCAGGATGTGCTTCTTGCAAAGCCTGGAGTGCTTCTTCTTCCCCTAAGCATCGTAAGAGTACTCACTCGAATGACCTTATGTATAGAGTATCTTCGTAGTAAAGGAAGCGAGGTGCACGATGACAGATTTCAGTCCTTTTCCTCGGATTTTCTGGAAGTATCCCATAGCTTACGTAGTCGATAATGGG